TTTACCTGCTCAAATTAAGGGTAAATACACTTAATTTAAGACATTTTTTTTTACAAATTTTTAGATAGTTTTTGCAGTGTATGGTGGTCAGATGATCTAGCGGCAACTTTGTACGGCAGTCTCATTCTGTCAGCGTGCCCCAGGGCTGCTGTGGCTACAATGCAGCTCACCACCATCATTATGTGACTGACTGAATGTAGTGTAAAGCTCTGGAATCTCCTAACTTAAAAAAACATTTAAACTTTAGCAAGGGGCAGAAATTTCCCCCAGATCCTGCGGAGTTGGTTCATTTTTTTTTAGGTTTTATTCCTTTTTATTTAACATAAATGATTTTTCTTTTTTGTAGATCCACGAACGACTGCAGCACTATGAAGAGAGCAAGCCCGTTCCCGTCCTGGACCGAGCTGCAGCTCTGGCACAAAACGTAAGATTCTTCAGCTTCTGTTTTATATTTAACCACATGATGATGGAGGCTGGATGAAAGGAAACACAAACATAAAAAGTTTCAGTTTCAGCATTTGTTGGCCTGTGATCTCGGAGGAATAAAACTTTAAAAGCCTCTTCAGAGTGCGAAGCGTCAGGCTGTTCTTACCCAACTCTTGGCTCTGCCTCCCCAGATTATAGCCCGGGTCTCGGCTGATCCAGAGACTCTAAATGACAGCCTCCATCCCTCCTACCATTACATATTTTCCCTGTATTTTTTTTGTCAAACAAATTACCAACTATTAAATTCATGGTCGCTCATAAATGCCCTGCAACAAGTCTCACTGGGATTATTGGATATTAGGAGAAAACACCACAGACTTGAGTCTCCTGTCAGCTCAGGACCTTATGATGTATTTTTAGGCTGTTTTTCAGCCATCGTGCTGCTCCAAATGAGCTCTGTTAAAGTGGTGGCTGAAGACCAAAGAGAAAACACAGAGAGTTACAGCTAGAGGAATGCATTTCAGGTTTGGGTTTCAGTTAACAGTGGTTTAATTTATTGGCTAAGATGAATTGGTATTTCAGGCCTGTCTGGCTGCGACTTCACTGTCTGGAGCTCACAACAGGTTGCTCCACTGCTCAGATCATTCTTAGGAATCTAACATAGCAGAAGAAATGTCAGCTCCACACCCATTCCTCTAAATAAGAAGGATCGGTGATGCACAGATGGTCTCTCTGCCAATCGAAAGTCCTCCCCAACACTGAAACAGTAAAAAAATATTCAATTATTTAGACAGAGAGTCAGTCCAGTACCTGCATCCAGGAAAAGGTAAATTTTTCTATTCCATGGTACAGAGTACTACACAGATTTATTAATAAAAATTGGCAGTAGCAAAATATTTTGAGACTCTTGCGTATTTTGGGTCTATCGCCTCGAAATACACATATATTCAGTATGAATACCCGTCAAGCTCCAAGTAACTGTGAGAATGATGCTGTCAGGTCGTTACATGAAGACTTTGTGAAAACTTTTAATTGACATTTATTTTACCAACAACTTATTGAATGACATCAAAAACTCGCTAAAGAAAGTGGCTGAATTTTTTGGCAAATTCTGGAGAAGATTCTCAGTTAGTTGAACTGAAAGAGCTTCCTGAATGGGAAGCGAAACGTCTTCAAACTTGGAAAACAAAGTTCAGCGCTTTGTTTTTTAACCTTTTTAACCTCTTTTGGTAAAGTTTATATGAAGTCTAAAATGTTCTGTATAACTCTGGTCTGTCTAAAGGCCGCTGTCCTGCAGGTTTTGAAGATGTGTGTGTGTGTGCATATACACATATATATATATATACAAATTTTTTTCTGCTACACCCGGCTATGCTGCTTCGCTTCTTCTTCTTCTTGTTTACTACTGGTGGTTGGCTTTGGTCGCAGTACCACCACCTTCTGCTCTGGAGTGTAATCGTTTCGCCTATGAGAAAAAGGAGCAGCGCATGAACCGAACGAAACACACGCGAACCGAACCGAGACAGTCGAACCGAACGGTTCGGACGGTTTTCAAAAACCGTTCCATCCCTAATATATACACTACCGTTCAAAAGTTTGGGGTCACCCAAA